TGACTGATTATTTTTTTATATATTGTTTTGTTTTGTTTTAGACTCCGCATTTCCAGACTTAACTGTTGTCAGACTCCCAGGGTCCAAATGTCAAACCAACCAAACTACAAAAACAAACAATCCACCAGGTTGCCTTTTTTTAAGAAATTATTTCTATAAAACGTGTGAAAATGCTTACGTATTGTATAATATTATATATAATATATAATGTTGGTGACTGAGTAGTTCAGCAATAAGACGTTCTCTGAGGCAGGTAAATCCCTTTCCCAGCACAGCGCAGCTTTGCACCCAGAGACGACAGCTCCTGCTGCCAGATTTCAGGAACTGCTGTTGAACCCAGGATGGGGTTTTTAAAGCGCTAGATTTTTAAATGGTTTTTTTGTTGTTTTTTTTCTGGGATCCTCTCTGTGTTCAGACGAGGACAGCCTGGAGCAGGGGGATGAGCAGGATGGGACCACCGGCGTGAAAGCTCTGGATGCTGGTGCGCAGGGATGCGGCTGGAAGAGGTGGTGCCGACTGGGTAGGATCCACCCAAGGACTTGCCTGGCATCCACTCCCCACCAACTGCCACCTCTCCTCCTAAACTGCCTTCCTTCCCCTGAGAAAACCCAACTGGGTGCTGGATGTCATCCCAGGGCATCTCCCCATCCACCTGGAGACCTTGTCGGAGTAGCCCCAAGGGCTCGTTGGAAGGAGCAGGTCTGTCATCTCTGATTCCCTTGTGGTCATCCAGCTGCTCTGGCCACCCCTGTATCTATGCACAAACATGTCTCCTCCCTCTGCCACTGGAGCGTCTCTTGTTCTCGATGCCATGGGTTTGTTGCTGGTTTTACCAGCACCAGAGGAAGAAAAAAAGAGGAGAGATGGGGGGGAAGAGATATAACCCAAGCCCACCGTAGCAGTTTTTCCTGCAGTAGGTATGCAGGGAGAGGCTGTTGAGTGCCATGGATGATTAGGGTTTTTAACAATGGACAAACTACAACCTGACCTCTGTGCACTGGCTGCCTATGCCTACCAGGGAGGCAAGGGTGCAGGGCTGCCAGCCTCCCACTGCACTTCTCTGGTGGGCTGCAAAGCCATTTTTAACTTTTGTTTTAAATTTTTCCATCTCTTTTTATTGTTTTTCTCAGACCTGCAAGGTGGGCATTGGTTCCAGCAGTTGGCCTCAGCTGTAGGAGCAGGGGATGGTTTGGAAAAAAGGTGTTTTGAAGAAGGGGCAGGAGGAACTTCTGTCCTGGTGGGAGAGTCAGAGGTTAAAATACCTGGTGTGCTTGGTTGGGGCAGGTTCCTGCTCCTCGTCCCCTTGGCTTTGGCTCACCATAGCCTCAGGTTTCCCATGGGAACCTTACATGGACTTGATAAAATTAAAAGGAATAAATAAATAAATATATATATATATGAACATGGTAGCAGAGAGGGAAACTCAATGAGCTTGCTTTTCTTTTTTTCTTTTTTTTTTTCCCCTTTCCCTGGTTGAGTTTCATCCATGGTGGGTGGATGAAATGGAGCTTTTGGGTCTCACAGCACCACACCACCAGAATGTGTCCCTTGGAGTACACCAAAGAAACGCCGAGCACTTTACCCCGTCATCCCCGCTGGGCTGTGCCAGCCAGCCATGGAGACAAAAATTATATGAATTTTTAAGAGGAAAAATAAAAAGAGGTATTGGCACCATCTGCCTGGGACTTCTCCACAGGAGGTGTTCCTGGCTGAAAGGCATAGGAAAATTAGCTCCCAAAAACCCCAAAATTCACCCCTGTAGAGCTGTGAGTAGGGGAGAAAAAGAAGCCCCAAAAATCTCCAAGCAAAAGAATGATGGTTTTAAATAGGGATGATGCTCATTTTAGCCTGTTGGCTGACTGCTCTGGGTCATTCTTAAGTCTAACCTGTGGTCTCTGTTCTGCCAAAAGGATGTGATGAAGCGTTTTCCTTGGTTGCAGGGAAACCTGATTTATTCCCAGGCAATCTCACAAGACGTGTTACGGCTTCTCTTTTCCACAACTGTAAATACCTGAATATTTATTAGAGTAGGGCATCATATTATTTTCATCATCTGAGCCAAATACCTGCGTGCAATGTATTTCCTTTCCTTTCTCTCATGTAAGTTTTGTACAGCTTATAAATAAGTAAAAAAAAAAAAAATTAATTACTTTTTTCCTAAACTTTTTTAGAGTTGAACTTGGTAAATAATGTAGATCTTTTTTTTCCCCCCTGTGTAATTAATGCACTCTACTGTTCCATAATGCTGTAACATGTAGAAATGTTGTATATTTATTTTCTGCTTATTTAAGATCCTGTAAAGATGTTTGGGGTTTTTTTTCCCTCCTCTCCTCCCTGCCCCTGCAATAGGTGATGGATCACCTCCCAAAGCGCTGTCTTCTCCTGCCAGTGCACCCACCATGCTTTGGATAATGACATTTATTAGTGTTTTTTTTTCTCCAAGTGCCTAAGTCCCCACTTCCCAGTAGTGATTTAGGCACCTTGAAGACTTCAGCATTAGTGAAAATCAGTGGGAATTTGGCTTATTTTTGCCCACCCCTCTCTTCAAGCTGTTTTCCTCCATCTCAGCCACTTTTTCCCTGGCCCAGCTCAACCATCAGGTACCACCACCCCGGTGCACAGGGCTTTGCTGATGAATCACAAACTCCTTTCACAGGACCCAGCATATGTAGCATTTTTACTGCAATTTCCCTGGCTTCCTTGTGTTTTGCACTGATGAATTTTGGACAGGGTAATTGCCACTTTACTTGTGCAATACTGCTGTAAATAATTGCAGATCTTTTTGTTGTTGTTGTTGTTCTTTTGTTTGTTTTTGTTTTGTTTTTCAAAATGCAATCTTTTATGTTCTTAATATGAGTTTTATATGAATAAAAACTTTCAACTATTTGTCCCGTGTGCTGTTTTTCCCTAAGGATCTCCTGGCAGGTGTATTATTTGCTACTTTGTCACCACTTCTCCCGATTTATCACCCCACATGCAGGATGTGGATGCATACCTGGTGTTTCCCTCTGTGCTGAGGTGCTCGGAGGTTCCTGGGACACTAAAATGAAGCTGATGTGGAAGATGCTGCCTTGAGATACTCCAACCCCACAAGAGACACCTCTGCTACCCCAACACAGACTGCTTTGGGTTTTGGGTGGGTTTTTAAAGTTTTCCCCACATTTATGGGGCTCTGCAGACATGGGCTGCATCGGTGGGCTCGGGCCCAACCCCTGGGCCCCTTCCTCTCCCCAGTACGTATTGAAGAAGTTTGGGGAAGCAGGGTCATGAGGTTATTACTCATGTATTGGTTTATTATTGTTTACTTAATTATTTTTACTTGTTTTACTTTATTTTTTTTTTACTTGGGTGGTTCCCCTTCTACCAGGGCACACATCCTTCTTTGGGAAGACCTCAGTAACTTGCTTTAAAGGCTAATAAGTAAGATGATCGATACAGTTGTCGCGGAGGGAGGGAGAAAATGGGGCACTGGGAATGTCCCAGTATTTTATGAGATGATAACACCTGGGTGCCAGCATCCCTTTTAATTCCCATTTCATCTAATTACAAGGCCAGTGGTGATGTGGGCACAAATGACGCTGTTAAATGCGGTCA